TAAAGCAATCGAATATATATAGAATTATTTATTTGTATAAGTAATGTCCATTAAACTAAGCGACGTCACTTTGCTATGTCAGTACAACCTTTTGGTTACTATGGTCATTTTTGTCTTTAAACAAGCACATGCTTTTAAATTTTTCCCCTAAAATCAGAACAACAGACTTCAAAATACATAAAAAATGCCTAAAAACAGAGCCACTCGATATTACATTCTTTCACATTATGATATATAAAAATGCTTTTAAATATTTCTCATTGGTAATTAGAGTAAGCGATTTTGTAATGTTAGGACTTTTGTTTTTCGGCAAACAGTGGTTTCCTAAGAAGGTTGGAATTGCGGTTTCATTTGTCTCTTGTGGTTTTGGTGTTGGTCCTCTTATATTCAACAACATTATAACATCCTACCTCAATCCTGAAAATGTTTCTCCGAATGAAAATGGGTGAGTTTTTAATCATTCGAAACAATTTTAGTCTTAAAATGTTTAGTTTTAAAATTTCGAAGCGTGTTTATTTCAATCATGATTTTAAGCACATACAAGAAAGTTGTATAGGCTTTCTCATTGCGACAGTGAAAGGTTGCTCCAGCTCAAGTAGGAGTCTTGAAAATAACATCATATCATGAGCTATACATATGCATCTTCCATATACGTAAGTCGTTTTGCTCTAACTGACTGATTTACGACACTCTACTTATTCAATTCCAAGAATGTCTATCGCATATAATAAAATCGGGGGAAATGAGGATAGGCCTTCGCAAGTCAAAGTTTCTTTAGCTTACAGATCCCGCCCCCAGTTATGATTTATTCGGTTAGCCCTCAGTAAGCTCGAAGGCCTTAGTGCTAAAACTTGGGGTTTCATCTCTGCGGTGGGCACAGTTTAAATAGGCCAAGGTGCATCTTTGAGATTAACAACGAATCAATAATTATAGAAGATAGAAAATAGCAGAATAGCAGTTAAATTTCCTCATACAGTATCGATAATCTTGAAGCTGGAGGCTCAAACAGTAATACTGCAGTCTAACCCATGAATGGGGTACTTATAATAATCCGACATATTGAGTTATACGATTCACACACGGAGTGAAAACAATTACCTTCACCATTGGCTGAACGTAATAAATCTTTTTGTATAGATGTACATCTACTATTATATAACTTACCAAAAGTCGTACTGAACATCATATCAAATCTGGCTATGCATAACTACTATAAAAGTTACACCATCTAGTAGAGTTGAGAGAGGAACTTTGTTACTTTGAGAGGCTGTTAACCAGTCGATAGGATTCCTACACTGTACCTATACATCTTAACATTTAACTTATACAAAGATGACCTTACATGACATCTTAACTAAGATTTTGGTATGGTATGATTTGACCAATCTGATTAGTTCTAACACTGAAAATATAACACAAAATTTAATTAATATTCTACTTTCTTGTGTAAAATAACCATAAGAAAATGCACTAACCATAGTGGAACATGTTTTGGTACTGGTGTTTCATGATCTGATATCTAAATTTCCCGATGGGACAGCGGTAAACTTACGAACTTACAATGCTAAGATCCGGAGATCGACTCCCCGCATTAGCCACAGCAAATAGCCCAATTTAGCTTTGCTCTAAAACAAAGCAACAAATTGATCTCTTGTGTAGGTAACGAGGTATTATGTAAAGCAATGACGAGTAGATTCTTAAGCCTATATACGTATATAAATGTGTGTGTGTGTGTGTGTATTGTTCTTTTATTTTAATTTTCACTACAGATTTTTTACTGATGAAGGATTGTTAGACAGAGTCCCTACTGTCATGTACATTCTGACGGGAGTCTATGCGGGCATACAAGTTATTGGTTGTATACTTATTAAACCTCATCCAGATTTTAAGAAAAAGGTGAGTGTTTTGTATGTAACGATTGTTTGTTTATTTTTTGAGATACGTTCTATGTTCAACAATGTTTATTTCACTTACAGATTTTTGGTTGCAGTTTCGGTAAATTTCTTTTGTGTTTCGCTTTAAGCTACTTGAGGGCTATGTGCGCCAGCTGTCCCTAATTTTGAAGTGATAGATTAAAGGACATCAAGTATTCATCATGAAGCTGTTTTTGCTCAAAAAGAACTACGGATTATCTCGAGAAGATTATGTTAAAAATTCACAAGCACATGAAGTAACTGTGTAACACATTATATTGTAATTGCTGAGAAGATATTTATATGGTAACTGGTGAACAGATAAATTCATGATGAAACTTTGTAGAATGGACGGCAACTGCCTGTTGTAGAGACACAAGTGTACAGGACGACGTTTCGAAAGTCTTCCGCCTTTCGTCTTCAGATCAGTGTGTGTATGGTCTATGGCAGTTATTTTGGTGTAAAGTTAATAGTTTACTGAAAACTATTAATCACGAAAGGCGTTCGAAGAGTAGCAAAGGTCAATGTGTGATCCGATCCGATAAACTTGGTAGTTGTTTCAGGTTTTGTGAATAAACCTGGGAGTGTTCAGAAATATTACATTTGTTCTTCGCCCCCTGTCGTGGCTTTATCTTATAGATACCTAGAAAGGATTAAGTGCGGATCTTTTGTTTATTGATTTTATAACAGGTGAAAGCAGTGAAGAAGGCCGGAGACAAGAGATAAGAGTCTTGAAATAGAGCTTGGAAGCCTCTACCTTGGCGATGGGTCAACTGATCACGAGCAAAGTGTCCAGACCGCAGCGCCCCGCCGCCTGGGTACCAATACACCCCGCCCCATAAAAAGACACAAGACCAAGACCAAAGTTTATTGCAACACAAAGACAGGTACAGATAAATAATGCAATGGTTAATAAAGACAGGTACAGATAAATAATGCAATGGTTAATAAAGACAGGTACAGATAAATAATGCAATGGTTAATAAAGACAGGTACAGATAAATAATGCAATGGTTAATAAAGACAGGTACAGATAAATAATGCAATGGTTAACATTTACATGGAATAATTTTATAATCAGCTAAAAAGTAAACATTAAACATTAACATTACATAATAAACGTGAAACTAAAACATAAACACAATTTAAATAATTATTAATTAATTAAAGTCATATTGGTTCCGTTGTTCGTTCCGGTCGGTAATCTGAAAAGAAAGGAGGGGGGAGCACAAGGTAAAAATACTCAAGGTGGTAGTGGGGAGCATAAGGTAAGAATACTCAAAGTGGTTGTGAAAATGATTGTTACTCGTTTTGTGAAATGATGTAGTTCAGAGGATAGATGTACTTGTTCCATGAAGCTGGTGTTTTTGCAATATTAGCGAGTCTTCTGTAAAAATTATTTCTGTTTTTAGATTTGTCATAATACTTATTAGTTAGGGTTAAAAAACGTGTTTGTAAATTCTTTGATCTGTTTGTTTTATATAGATATGAGCTTGGGGTGTAGATGGGAAGAAGGTGAGCAATGCGAATTGCTTTTAACTTATTGATTCGAGTTTTTTGTAGGTGTGTTTTGGCATGTTGCATGTAGGCGTTAAATATTGTTATTATTGTTTTAGCACTGGACCCTTTGGCGTACCCACCGATTTTTTTTATATAGATAATTGGTTCGTTGATGTGCTTTGATTAGAATTTCAGATATATGTGAGTTCCATGTTAGTTTTTTTATTGAAAGTTAAACCTAAAAATTTAATTTGATTTGAGAATTTTTTTGCGCGTCGTATAGACTGAGTTTAACGTTTGATTTTCTTCCTGTTTTGTTTAAGCTTACGGTTGAAGATAATGGCTTGGGTTTTATGCGGATTAAGAAATACGCGCCAAGTGTTACACCGTGTGGTTAAGCGTTGCTTGTATTCTGACTGCTGCTAGTAGGGGGGAGCCTCCATACAGCAATGTCTGCAGCATATTGGGAAGCTTTTGTTTTGGGAGTCGTTAGAAAATTTATATCATTTACAAATAGAATACAGAACCTTGAGGAACCCCAGTTTGAAGTGGGAATGACCGTGACATGTTATTGTTTATCTTAACTTTAGCAGTTCTATTAGTTAAGAATCTTGAAATCCATCTAATAATTGGGGTGGGTATTTTGTAATTACATAATTTAAATCTGAGGCCATTGTGGTAAACGGAATCTAACGCTTTCCTGACATCCAGGAAAACGCCGTTGGTTGTTTGATTACGATTAAACCCTTTATGTATTGATTCTGCTAACCTGGCTAGATGACCGATTGTTTGCGTAACGCGTTTTGTATGTTGGAAAGGAGCTTCACTGTTGCCCAAGCCTTTACAATACCCTCATCACATTCTCTAAATCTGCAAAATTTCTAGGCATTACTATCAACCCTAAACTATACCTAACATGGTATACACATTTCAAGGAAATCAGTAAGATACTAAAAAACAGAATATTATACCTTCACAAAATAAGTCACCACACTCGCGGATGTAGACCATAGATAATAACCTACATTTACAAGACATTTATCAGACCTTTAATAGATTTAATGGTTGAATGATAACATGCAGCATGAATCAAAACCAACTTTTGATACTTCAAAATCAACAATACGTCTACACACCGGCATGCTACGTAAAAAAACAAACAAAAAACACTTCACTATAAACAGTACAAGAACGCATATCTAATCTTGCTACTAAATATTACAAACGAATCACCTACAGAAATTCACTCACAGCGGGATTTCATAATATTGCCGCTACCCCCAAACCATGGTGCAAATACCTATCCCCATACAACATGATATACAACACCACAAATATCTATCCCCATACAACATGATACACAACACCACAAATATCTATCCCCATACAACATGATACACAACACCACAAATACCCATCCCCATATAACATGATACACAACACCACAAGTACCTATCCCCAGACAACATGATACACAACACCACAAATACCTATCCCCATATAACATGATACACAACACCACAAATATCTATCCCCATATAACATGATACACAACATCACTAACACACCACCATGATCTGTAAAAGTAAGAATAATAGTATATCATATTTTATGTATAATTATTTCACTTTTCAGTCTCTTTTCGAGTCTTTATTTCTTCACTAGCTGTTCACTCGGGCACTAGCCGGGCTTTTTTTATGTCCCATCTAGTGAAAGTGGGTTTTCTGGAAGCACTCCAGTTTTCCCCACACCAAACCCTTAGACATTGGATCTATAGATCCCAGCCATGGCACTTGGGCCCATTGATCCCTGCCAGGACCTGTAGAAGCCCGATTGCTTCGGTTTCTTTCAATACATTGTCAACAATCGTTCTCGACTTGTTTCTTCTGCAAAAAACAACCTGCCTCTGCTACGCCTTCACCTTCTCTTCCGCCCACTTACCTCAATATTACCACCAGTGCATGTATATATGTGTGTATATATGTATGCATATATATATATGTATATATTCATATATATATTATTAATTCTTTTTTTTCAAATTTTCGCCCACTTTGCCCAATTAGAACGATGACCATTCTACGAAGTTTTAATCTTTAACCTCGTGCAGGGTGAAGGAAGATTTCTAATCTTCGGACACCCTTGGTGATTAATAGTTTTCCCTAAACTATTAACTTTACACCAAAATAACTGCCATAGACATGGAAAGACACACTGACCAAAGACTTTCGAAACGTCGTCCTCGACACTTGTGTTTCTAAAACAGGCAGTTACCGTCCATTCTACAAAGTTTCATCATGAATACTCTGCCTAAACAATCTATCAATGAATAGATAAATGAAACTATGTGATACTTTATATGGTAACTGGCTGAAAGATAAATTCTTGTTGTACGTCCGTAAATGTGTCATACATTATATGGTAACTGGCTGAAAGATAAATTCTTGTTGTACGTCCGTAAATGTGTCATACATTATATGGTAACTGGTGAACAGCTATATTCTTGTTGTACGTCCGTAAATGTGTAATACATTATATGGTAACTGGTGAGAAGATAAATACTTGTTGTACGTCCGTAAATGTGTAATACATTATATGGTAACTGGTGAGAAGAACAATTCTTGTTGTACGCCCGTAACTGTGTAATACATTATACGGTAACTGGTGAACAGATAAATTCTTGTTGTACGTCCGTAACTGTGTAATTCATTATATGGTAACTGGTGAACAGATAAATTCTTGTTGTACGTCCGTAACTGTGTAATACATTATATGGTAACTGGTGAACAGATAAATTCTTGTTGTACGCCCACATTCATTCAGACTACATTTGAAAAGCTAAATTTTCTTTCTGTGTAATTTTAACCTAAAAAAAAGGAAAGCAAACTTGAGAAAAGTCCTTAGTACGTAATTTTTCACTATATGGACACATTTTGAGTAAAACAAGTTTCGATATGATAACATAGATCATAAAGATGGCATACGTCTTAAAAGAAGCTGACTAAAATATTACTAGGATTTTTTTTTATAAGTATAGTATAGCGCTTTCTAAAGAGGCTTCACATGCCAGTCTTACTCTAAATCGTTCTAATCTCTGTTTATGTGACCTAGAAAAATATGTATTTTGTATTTATGGGTAAAGACACTAAGATTTTCTACCGCAATCCCTAATCTGAATTATAATGGCCAATGGAAAGGCAGTCAGACAGCGGCAACCTGCCACCTATCATTCACTTCAATGAACTGATTGTTACTCTCATGTTATTTGGAAAGAACCTATACACTTTCTGAGCTGAATTGTATCGCTCGATCAGAAAACAATGTTTTGCGTTATTGTTCAGTAAACATTATTAATACAATTCAATTACCTCACTGTAGTGGGCTTGATAATAACAATAATAATAATGTGAAGTCATCACTTTAGGCTTATTACAAAATTTTAAAATTTATATATATTTTCATTACTTTTAGAAAGGTTCACCTGTTAACAAGCTTAAAGACTCGTCGTTTAAGACATCAGTTACAACTATTTCTACTGAAGTCAGTGTCGGGGTAACAGACTATTCCAATGAAAACAATCAACAAAATTGTGGTAATGGAGATTACTCAAGTTCAGTGAAAACATCAAACAACAATGATGATACGAAAATATCCTACAAAGACTCAAATGTTTTAAAAGTGCACAATAGTAGCAATTCTTTCAGTCCACCCTCTCAGCCTACACTTAATAACAAACATGCTGAAAATGTTGTAGAACTTTCGGAAAATTTTAAAAACAAAGAGACAGACCAAGAGAGCTTAACTTTTACAGTAAATTTATCAGAGAGTGAGAAGTACAACACGAAAAATCCTGAGCTTTCAGAAAACTCAGGTGTTAATGTTTCTTTTGAAAAAGATAATTCAACAACCATTCTCTTTCACGACTCTGAAACTGGCACCAAATTTTCGAGAACTTCACAAAAAGAAGAAGAACCAGCTCGACAGAACGATAGTACGAATAATATTTATAACAACATTCTGTCAAACAACTCAGAAAGAAGAGAAGAAGAACAGAAGTATAACGATAAACCAGGTGAAAAACACGATAGTGACAGTGCTAGTGTATCAGAAGGAACGAAAACAGCAAAGACAGATGAAGAGATTCTTCCATCTTCCAGAAACAACAATTATCTTACAGTCCATGAAGCTTTAAAGACGCGAGAGTTTTACATTCTGGCAACTTGTATGTTACTCCAGATTCAAATCAATACTTATTTTGTTACTCTGTTCAAGGTAAGCTAGAACTTATCGTTCGTCGATTCTTTTCCTCTCCTCCGTATATAAAGAAATAACCAATACACAATGCGGTATAATATTAATCTACTGCTTGCGAGGGCTAACAGCTCACTCTTTCGGAATAGTTAGAAACAGTTTTGCCAGATGCTACTTTGAAAATTCCACTAGTGGTGAGCTAATTTCCCCCATTTTCAGATCTTTCCCTCATTTACAAAATACCCGTACGGCAAAAAGAGAGTAGCATTTATATATTATTGACCTGATTTGCTTTTCATAAATTCTTAAACTTCTCATTAATTGGTATTAAATTGATGAACTAATGAAAATAATAACTAGAGTAATTGTAATAAATGACAATAATAATAATACATAAGTCGGTACAGATTTTTAATTAATGTCAGCTTTTTACGTATGTGTTGGCCGGATTCTTTAATGTAGGTGTCTGTGACTTGTTGGCGACAAATTTCAACAATAAACAAACAGCAAGCGCACAGTCCACTTGTTTTATAATATACAAATATATATATACACAAATGTTCGTTCCACTGTTAATTACCAAAGTTGTATCCAGAGCTTTAAATAATCGTTTTTACGTATGTGTGGACCGGATTCTTTAATGTAGGTGTCTGTGACTTGTTGACCACAAATTTCAACAATAAACAAACAGCAAGCACACAGTCCACTTGTTTTAGAATATACAAATGTTCGTTACACTGTTAATTATTACAGTTGTATCCAGAGCTTCAAATAATCGTTTTTACGTATGTGTGGGCGGATTCTTTAATGTAGGTGGCTGTGACTTGTTGGCGACAAATTTCAACAATAAACAAACAGCAAGCACACAGTCCACTTGTTTAAGAATATACAAATGTTCGTTACACAGCTAATTACCACAGTTGTATCCAGAACTTTAAATAATCGTCTCATTTCTTTAAAGTTCACACAGGCTTGTTCAGTTACTTTAGAACACAACCGACGAGACGAAATATTCCTCTCTGTTCTGTTATTACAATACAGTCTGCGATAATTTCACTTTAAAAAACACCGTTATACACTCTTTCCGACTACACTCACTAATACACAGTCTAAACCTATCTATCTCTAACTAACTTTATCTAACTTAACTTTCTAGACACTACGAGATATTATGATGCAACAATACTCAATTACAGCAACTAGAAAAATTCAAAAGGTTTGAGTAACGTGACGTCAATTCACAACAATTGAGCTCCACACAATGAATGATTCGTAAACAGTTACGTAAACAAAGTTGGCATAACTATTGCTTCTAAAAATAACTTGACTTTAATATTCGCGCTATATAAATTATCTAAATCATAATGCTAACATGAAACTTAAAATAAAACTGCCGTGAATAATTAACAATTAAATTATTTTTTGTATATCAAGAACCATACAAAATGTGCACGTTACTTATTGTCTACTATATTCATTACGCTAGAGTTATATTTATTTTTGGAAGATGGAGGAGTAGAGTATAACATGGAACTCAGTCGCAAATGGCGTGTACTTTGGCTAGTGAAATTTCCACCACTGTTAGAAAGCAAACTTAATATTCTAAAGTGTCATGAGAGCACTATGAAAAATTTCAAAGGACATCATTACAGAGGAAATTAAAGCTCCCAACCCCATTTTTAGCGTTACTATCGTATTTGATTTCCTCTCTGCAACGTTTGCATAACGTAACATATGCAGATTAAACAGCTTGAAAAGTAATTTTGTAGCCTTTTTCTCTCATCTAGATAATGTATTTTTATAGGAATGTTGCCCGATTATTAGCAAAAACTTTGATAGAGAGAGAGAGAGTACATTTTTAAGACTTATATAAAGTTTGGAAGAAACACCAGATATTCGTGTGTTTGTGTGGAGGGAGATTGTTACCCCAAGAAGAATAGAAGAAACTGACAATAAAGTACCAGTTTTACGTTTTTACTGTGTAAAGCTACAGTAAAATTTAATCTTAGATCACATATAATTATTGAGTTCTCACTTTTGAATAGTCTAAGCACTGGCTCTTGGACCTCCATAAGAACTGCCCCATCCCAAATAAAGACTCAAATGTGGTTATCTAGTAGTTTCAGCCTGTTATTACTTATGTGACACATGGACTAAGCGCACATTTCAGATAATCCAAAGTTCAGGCATGGCAATCCGTAATTTACAATTTATACATCCAATCAAATAGCGGGAATGACTGTCAAGATTATAACGCCCCAAAAGCTTAAAGTGCTGAGCGTTTTCAGCAGCATATCGCGGCTCGAACCTTGAACCTTTCGATTCGCAATCTATTCCTACGCATTAATTATTTAATACAGCACGCTACTAAATGAGCTATCACGAATAACGAAAAAAAAATGCACTTACAGACAATTTAAACTAATAAATGGTTAAATTCACAATAAAGGTAAGAAGAACGTTTTTACGCCACTTTCAATGCAGCTTAGAAATATTTTGAACAATATTTCCCGTAGACTATCTGACTTCGCTTTATTTCAATTTTTGTTAAAATGCATGCTATTTTTTAATTTTTTTTTATTTTGATTATATCCTAACGAAATCCAATGTTGATAATAATTTCTACAAAATGTCCAGCATGAAGGTCTATAATTATGCTTTCAATAGCCTTATTGTTGT